CAAAAACCTGGATCGGGACATCTCTACCATAGACCTCCATTATTTGAATGTCAGCAGACAGCAAGAAGCCTCCCAGATCTCCAGATGCATTTGAGATATCAAAAAAGTACTCCAGAGTGTTGTTCAGCATGGGGGTGAGTAGAAAATGAAGGCTAATCATGTTTTGGGTGTACTATTCCTTTAAGTCACTGGGAAATTCAGTGGTACTGGTCTGTTCAGGAGTTCCTCAAGGTGGCTGACCTTAGCGTGTAGTTGTGCGTGATGCAACATCTGTTGATGGTGGGGACATTTGTTGGCTAAAGCATAAGATGTTCCTAGATGTTTCTATTTGCACACCCTCTTCAATAGGAGGTGTTACATGTCCACCATGTTTTGCAGAACTGTTTCCTAGGTACATGGGGGAAATCAGGCTGGGCGCCACACAGAAGGGGGCATGGGGTCTAAAATGAATGACGTGTCAAGGAAGTACCCCACTTAGGTGTTGTTGTTTGAGCTTTCTCTCTGCTGTCAGAGCTGATGCTTGTTCACCTTCATTGGGGAACTGAGGACAGATTCAATGGCACTGAGTTGAGGTTTCTGCAGGGCTTCCTCCATGTAAATGTGCAAATAAGGAGGTACATGTGTCCCATGTCCATTACACTCATTAAAAGCCAGGGTATCTGACCCAGCATTGAGAGATGACGCTGGTCGGACTTGTCAATCTGGAAGAAGAAGAACTTCCTTGTTTGCTCATGCTCAGTGCTCGAGGTTCTGGTAAATTGGCTCGTAGCTCTGCTTCAACAGCAGGATTTACCCACCAACACCTCAGACATGTTTGATGTTCTCCCGACTTTACAATCCCTGAAGGGGAGGCGGTCGTTTGACGTTGATCGCACCACGCACCATCAGGCTCAAAGTCGGCCCGACTGAAAAAATTCTTGCACGACTGGGGAATCGGCCCGAAAAGGGCAAAAAAATCGTACAGTGTACGCCCAGCTTAATGGGATTGTGGGTGGGATATCCCAGTAGTCAATGGACGAGGTACACCCTGGATGGTCTGCCAACGCAGGTCCAATCAGAGACATGAAAAGACCAGCAACCACTCACACCGACACTCACTCCTAAGGGCCGTTTTGGAGTGTCCAATCAACCTAACATGCAGGTTTTTGGAACAACTCTATCCAGAGAACCTGGAGAAAACACACAAAGACAGGGAGAACATGCAAACTACTTTTCTTCCTTTGGCACCTTCTTCTTCTTTGACTATTTGAGCTGATGTAACAAGTAAATTTCTGCACTGTGAAATCAATAGCCAATCAATCCATCCACACAGAAAGGTCCTGGTTCCTCCGGGACTCGAACCCAGAACCTTCTTGCTTACACCAGGATCTATAACTTAGCATTCCTTTCTGTGCACCTTCAGATAACCCTGTCCTTTCCTTTTCTTCTTCTCTCAGGCCCCTGAGTCCAGGCTGGGATGACAACCTAAAGCTGTTAGTTCCAGTCACACCAGCACCAGTCAGGCGCCCTTCACCTGTCCATGTAGACGCTCTGCCTTAGGGTGCCATGGCCACAGGAACGGAGCGCCGCCATGACCCTGTCCCAGAGAAGGCCAAGCTTTCACCAACTTTGGGGAAACGCAGGAGAGCAGAAGGGAAACCCAAGAAGAACTTTCCTTGTCAGGAGTGTCAAAAGGCGTTCAACAGCCTGGAGAAGTTGAAGGTTCACTCGTACTCCCACACGGGGGAAAGGCCCTACCGCTGCTCCCATCCAGACTGCACCAAGGCCTTCGTGTCCAAGTACAAGCTGCTACGGTACAGCATGCTGATTCTGTTGCACCATTATGAAGTGCTAATATTAATATGATGTCTAATGCTTATGAGATGGTGTCTGTGTTCAAAGGCATACAGCAACTCACTCACCAGAAAAAAGCCACAAGTGTTCGTACTGTGAAAAAATGTTTCACCGCAAGGATCACTTAAAAAATCACCTCCACACCCATGACCCACACAAGGAGGCCTTCTCCTGTCAGGAGTGCGGGAAGAGCTACAACACCAAGCTGGGCTTTAAGCGCCACCTGGCCCTCCATGCCGCCAACAGCGGAGACCTGACCTGCCAGGTGTGCCTGCAGCTGTTCCCTAGCACCGCGGTTCTCCTGGATCACCTCAAAACTCATGCTGGCAAGACGTCCGGAGGGACCAAAGAGAAGAAGCATTGCTGCGAGCACTGCGAGCGCCAGTTTTACACCCGCAAAGACGTGCGACGCCACATGGTGGTGCACACCGGCCGCAAGGACTTCCTGTGTCAGTACTGCGCTCAGCGCTTTGGCAGGAAGGATCACCTGACACGTCACATGAAGAAGAGCCACACCAGAGAGCTGCTGAGGGTCAAAGCGGAACCCACCGACTCGCTGGAGACCCACGTCTTTGATCTGCCTGCAGGAAGCATCAAGGATGAGATTCCAGCACCGCTGACGGCGAGGTCCCACCAAGTGGGTGTGTTCTCGGGCTGTGGCCTGGACACGCAGCCCTTCTCCTCGCCTAATAACCCCTTTTCTTTGAAGTACCCACTGTGCTCTAACTTTACCTCGTACAACATCACCTCACATGAGAGGGAGCAGAATCTAAAGGGAGAACTGGAGACCTACTTGATGGAGCTGCAGAACATGCCATCCTCATCCTCTACCCCCCTGCATCCTCAGATCCCCTCCTCCAAACTGGAGCTGTTACCTCATGTGGGTCTGTTGGAGGAAGCGAGCGAGTCAGGGTCCCTCTCTAAAATGTCCACGCCAGCAGCAGACCCCGCACCAGACTCTGCGGCCTCGGCTTCCTCTCTTTTGGATTTCTCACAGCTCTTCAACTTCCTGCCACAAAACGGGCCCGCATACAGTCAGGTAGGGAGCGGTGGGGCCAGCATGGGGCCTGCCGCTACCTTCCCACCAGCCGAGGAGCCCCTTACTCTAGTCCCACTGGCCCCGCAGACACCTGCAGGTCCAGAGACGGCAGAGATCCCTCTCCAAGGACCCCCGTCCTCCTTCATATGCAGCCTCAACACCATCCCCACCCTACCCCGCTTTCATCAAGCTTTCCAGTGATGCAGTCAGAGCTGCCGATAAACAGGAGACCAGTCTGCCTGACCTATAACCCAGCTGAAGGTGCATGAAGATCAGGGCCCACACACACATCTCTATCTTTGCTGGGCTTTTCCTTTGACTTCCTTTCATTTAATTTCTAACCCATTTCTACTGTCTAAGAGTGACCGCAACCCTAACCTAACTCAGCCCTAAACCCTGACCCCATAATAACTCGGCTCAATTTATTTATATAGAGCAGCAGTTTTTCTTGTGGGAACCCGGCATTTGGCCCCACAAGGAACCCTTGATCCCCAAACGCGCAATTGTTCTAAAAAATGGGGCCATAATATCCATCCATCCATCCATTTTCCATCATGCTTTGTCCCTGCTGGGGTGGCGAGGGATTCTGGTGCCTATCTCTAGCTGTCTTTGGGGCGAGAGGCGTTGTACACCCAGGACAACAACCATTCAAACACACTCACATCTAAGGAGAATTTAGAGAAGCCAATTAAACTAACAGTCATGTTTTTTTACTGTGGGAGGAAGCTAATCATTACCAGACCATACCTTACCATTACCAGACCCTACCATTACCAGACCCTACCATTACCAGACCCTACCATTAACAGACCCTACCATTACCAGACCCTACCTAGCAATTACCAGACCCTACCATTAACAGACCCTACCATTACCAGACCCTACCATTACCAGACCCTACCTAGCAATTACCAGACCCTATCATTACCAGAACCTTCCATTGTTAGACCCTACCATTATCAGACCCTACCATTACCAGACTCTACTATTACCAGACTCTACCATTATCCGACTCTACCATTACCAGATCCTTCAATTGTCAGACCCTTCCATTGTCAGATCCTTCCATTACCAGACCCTACCTAGCCATTACCAGACCCCTAATCATTACCAGACCCTACCATTACAGACCCTACCTAGCCATTATCAGGCCCCTAACCATTACCAGACCCTACATAGCCATTATCAGGCCCCTAACCATTACCAGACCCTACATAGCCATTATCAGACCCCTAACCATTACCAGAGGCGACCAAACCATAACCTGAACCTAAACTGAATTCACTTCTTCATCCGAAACCTTAACCTTTAGCAAAGAGAGAATTGGGGACCAGCAGAATGTTCTCACTTTGATATTAACGGTCCCCACTCTGATGCCAAAACAGGATCACACACACAGTTTAACTTAAGTCTCTAAACTCTGGCAGATCTTCACAACTTTTCCAGAAACATCAAATGTCTTCAAAGTTAGTTTTTGTTTCATTTACTAACATAAGTTATCAGCTGCTCTGGTCCCAGAAAGGACTTTGATGTGCTAGAGAGCAGCGGCGGCAGCCAGCCGGATGCTGCAGCTTCTGGTTAGATCCATGTACAGGAGGGGGAGGCTTGAGTTCGTAGCTCATCAGGGACTCTGATTTCAGATCAACAACAGAACGCTCACTAAGGATTTGCTGTAGTAGTTCGGATGGTGTTTACTTAGAACTCCACTGCCATCTTTGACTCTAAACTGATCCATCCATCATCCACACAGCTTTGTCTTTGGAAGGAGAGCCGCTTGCTGGGATCACTTGCTGCATTCGACTCTTCCTGCTATGCTGCCATTAAACGCAGTCCTGTTTGAGTCCAGATCATACCAGACACAGCAGGGTTCAAAGTGCAATTGGTAATTTAACCTGCAAAACAATAATAAGAAACCATGAAAGCAGGTAGTTGGAGCACAAGGTTTACTCAATCAAGTTTATTAAGATCCCCACCAGGAAAAAAAACCTGTGGTTAGAACTAGTGAAAGAGTGAGCTTTATTGGACTTCCAGATGTTGGCTATTTCATTTTGAAGGTCCAGTAACTCCAAAGTCAGGATCAGATTGAGTCTTCCTGGAACACACCTTGTCCTTCTTAGGCTATAAGACCTGGAAAAGGCATTTGTTTGTCCTCTTTCTGGTGCCCTGCGGGGGCGCTCCAGTAGTACAGAGTGGTGGCCTTTACTAGGGGCCGTCTTGTCGCTGCACAGGTGGAGTAGGAGTTTGGTCCCCATTGCTAGACCATTTCCGAGTCCGTGTTGGACTCTGGCAGGGCTTCCCTTTCCCTGCTCAGAACCTCCATGGACGAGATAGGCAAGGTCAATGTTCTGGTTTGGGGACCAGCAAATTTCGTCTCTGCTTCTTCCAGAGACAGAAATCTCTGCAGAAAGCACTGCTGACTCACTCCTATCAAACCGACTGCATGCACAGGGGTGGATGGCACCAGAGGGGGGAAGGTCAGCATCTGCTATTCGGAGACCATGGATTTTGACTGGAAAAAGGTGGGTTGCCTAGTTCAGAGCAGTTTTGGTTTCCTGCCTCTAAGTGAAGGACTTCTAGTATCTTGGGTCCTGTTCATTAGTGAGGGGAGATGGACAGACGGATCTGTGCAGATGCCTCTATAATGCTGATGCTGCAATAGACCGGAATAGTAAAGAGAAAGCTGAAAGCAAAGTTTACCAATTTAGTGGTTTGTCTACCCTCCTGCTCTCTTCTATGACCATGAAATTATCGTTATGGCCAAAGTAGGTGATGTTATATACAAGCGGCTGGAATTAGCCTCCTCTGCAGGGAGGCTGGGCTCTCCCTCAGAGAGAGGGTGAGGAGCTCGGTCATCAGGGATAGACTCAGAGTAGAGCTGCTTCTCCTCCAGTTCAGGAGGAGTCAGCTGAGGATCAGACATCCCCTTCAAATGCTGCCTGGACACCACCCATGGAAGGTGTTCCACGCACGTCCCACTGGGCGGAGACCACGGGGACAACCCAGGACACACTGCAGGGACTATGTCTCTCAGTTGGAACACCTCAGGCTTCCCCCAGAGGAGCAGGAGAAGGTGTCTGGGAGTCTCTGCTGAGTCACGCATAGACTGTGGTCTACATATGAGGCCACTGGGGCTCAATGGTGGGGTTAGTTGCCTTTTGATTGGAAGGTTGCCGGTTGGCTTCCTATGGCCTCATATGGCCTTTCAATGTGCCCCAGGATCCTTGCATTACTGCATGCAGGTGCTCATGTTTGTGCAAGCAGCTTTGGGTGGTAAAAAACTCTTAGCCATGTTCGTCTCCTGAACCAAGTGTCCTTTTTAGGGTGGCTCCTGAGGTTTTTTTATTTGAAACTTCTGCCTTGAAAGAGACAAACTGATGTTTGGAAGTGATGACAGTTTTCCTTGTTGATGTGTGAATATTCCTCCAGACACCAGGGGGAGGTATGCATGGCTTTCTGGTAAAAGAAACCACCAGCTGTAGGGCTCAGATAGACATCATCCTAGACTCTCCCATGATGCGACCATATGGTGCTAATCTGTGGTATTTTTGGTATGATGTTATCAGTGTGATGCAGAGTCTGTGATTTAGAGTTTTGTCAACATTCATCAGTGTGATGGCGGTGGGGAAGAAGCTGTTGCAGAACTTGCTGGTCCTGCATTGAATGCTGGGAAGCCTCTTCCCAGAGGGCAGCAGGGAGAACAGTCCATGGTGGGGGGGTGAGGGGTCATTGATGATGTCACGGGCTCGGGACAGTCCTATTGTCCTATCACCAAGACCTACTTCTATTGACTGACCCATCATGGTTCTATTGACTGACCCATCATGGT